AAGCAGAAACTGACTAATAAGAATTTCGGGGCATAAGACATTTTTATATGGTTAGATGTTACATCTGATATCACTTTTAGCACATATTAATCAATCAGAATAATACAGGTTTATAGTTAAAGTTCGTTAATTAATTAAAGGGTTTGATACTTTATGATTTTTTTTTTTTTGAAGTGTTTCGTGGGACTCAAACATGTCACCTACAAGAGGTGAATGATTCTAATCTAGAGTTTATGCCATTGGGTTGGAATAGGTTGTTAGGTGTTTTATGATTTATTTATTTATTTTTTTGAACATATTTATAAGGGTCGGATTCAAACCGTTATTCAAGAGAAGAGGGAATGCACTTTAATGTGATTTTGTTGCCACTAGGTTTCGAAAGCCTAAATGCGGTATTTTATGATTTATTTAGACTATATTATACTACAAAATATTAATAATTGGTTACATCCTTATGTGCCCTTTTAATCATTGAATTTGGAGCTTCGTTTATCAACACCAGCATCATGATTCATGATCTGTTGGATCTTCATGAGAATAGAGGTGGATTCATCATAGAGTTGAGCTGTTAGTAGTGGGCACTGTTAATAACACTAGGTAGGTTGTCGAATCCAATCCTAGAGTTTGTAGTCTAACAAATTGGGTCAAGGTTGTTACCATTATTTATTAATTTATTTGTAATTTTATTAATTTATAACATTATTTTTAAATAATTGATATAATATTTAAAATTTTGTATTTATAAACTGAGTTTGATTTGATTATTAGTAAATATTAACTAGTAAAATTAAAATAAAAATTTGATAATTATTAATAACTTTAATAAATTATAGATAGTGTTATAGAGATAATTTTTTTGTTTAATTTCTTTATATAACTTTTACATGTCATTAAATGAGTTTTTTTTAACAACAAAAAATAATATTTATTAATAAACAGAGTACAAAGGGTACTCCAAACCAATAGACATCATAACTCAAAAGGCATCATATTACATGAGTGGAATAGTCTTTTCGTATGGTATCGATCCTGAATTATGTGTCAACACGATGTTCGTGTCGGAGTTTTGGATGCTTACCATATGGTATCGACCCCTGAATTATGTATCAACACTACGTCGATGTTTGGGTGTTGGATGCTTGTCATATGGTGTCGACACCAAAATTATGTCTCGACACTATACCCATGTCGGGTTTTTGTCCTCTTTTGCATTTTCTTCATATATCACTGTTTTGATCCTCAAAAACTTCCCACTTGTCAAACCCAAGTTGCTTTGTCAACACCCAAAAATGTGGGATTATGTATCCAATACTGAATAAACAAAAGGTCAACTTGCTGAACCTATTTGAACCTTCCTATATCAGAAACAGCAACAACAAAATCAGACAAAGGTTCAGTATAGGTTTAGTAGCTTGCTCACCTCTACAAAAACTAAGTGTTGTCAACTCTGAGTAAGCCAGCTTTCCTATTCCGTTTAGCTTCTAGGCTCAAGACCGGTTCCATCATCCATTCATAGAAATTAAAGGAGTATCCCTTTACCTTAGCCTTGATCCAGTTGAATGCTCTAAGTTGCACAAGTTCGAAGATTCTGTTGGCTTCATACTCACAATTTTTAAATATCTTTGCATTTCTTGCTATCCAGAGGGACCAAAAAATGGATAACCAAACCGCGTCCCACCCCTCTCTCATTGATGGTTCTTTGAAGTAAGAAAGGTGCTGCTCAAAGAACCAAAAAGGTGTTGATAGTTGATAGTTGATTCCCACCATCCTAAAC